GCACGTCAACAACAGACGAAAACATTGATGAATTGAAGAAAATAGTATTTGTTAATCGTCGAATCACCGTTAGAGAAGTTGCTGAGGACCTAAACATATCGATTGGCTCATTCGATTTTTACTAATGATTTGGGCATGAGACGGGTCGCCGCGAAATTCGTAACAACGCCCCTGCTCACACATCGTTACTTGTGCGCGAATTNATGATTTGGGCATGAGACGGGTCGCCGCGAAATTCGTAACAACGCCCCTGCTCACACATCGTTACTTGTGCGCGAATTCTTGGCCAAAAACAATACACTAATGATGCCGCAGCCACCGTATTCCCCAGACCTGGCCCCCTGTGACTTTTTCTTGTTCTCGAAACTGAAGAGGCACATGAAAAGACGACGGTACGCTACGATTGAGGGGATAAAGACGGCATCGAATGAGGAGCTGAACAAGATCACAAAAAATGATTTTTTGAAGTGCTTCGAGGATTGGAAAAAATGTTGGCACAAGTGTATAATATCTGATGGGGATTACTTTGAAGGAGACAAGATAGATATTTGTTAATAAATAAATAATTTTTGAAAAAACGCAAAATTTGCGATACTTTTTGAACATACCTCGTATATATACAGGGTCATCGAAAAGTATTGGACCCCCCTAGTAACTTCAGTTAGAATGCATTTTGGAGAAAATGTCCAATAGCAAAGTTGTATGGTTTTAAGCGGAGAGTAAGAGGATGACCTTGATTTTGACCTTGACCATGTCCTTCAAGATCATTTCAAGGTCAACTTTATTTTTTTTAATAGAACTCCCTACATTTTATTGCATATCCTTATATCTTATCTCGAGAGCTTTCCAAAACACTATTATAAACTATTTTTTCTTTAAGTTCTTTTTAATTTATAAAGGTTTGAAGTTAAGAATTTGTTAAGTGGCGTGTGATTTCGGCCAGTTAATGAAGATCTTTAAGACATTCCATTGAAGCGCAATAACTTCTTTTGTTACAGAAAAAATGTTTCTGTTACATAGCACATAAATTTTTCGTAAATATTATTAATTGATCTACATTGTCTACATGTATTAGATTTTCAATTGCTCAACGAGCTTTTTGCTAGTGCTGGTTGAAATAAACAAATCGATAGTTGGACCAACACTTACTAATTAGTATTTTTCTTTACTTAATTATTGAGATCAATTTCCTATCACTTACCTGATTAATTCTTCTTTGCTCTAATTACGAATGGCGGAGCTTTCTAAAAAAGATCGAATAACTCTGTTAATGATGCGAGGATGTGGAGATCAACAAAGAGGTTATGAAACAGTAACGCGATTATTTAATGAAAATTTTCGGAATGAAAATAATAGGATCTCTAAAAGTACTGTAATCCGTACTATTCAACGTTTCGATGACATTGGTAGCGTTAAAAGCCGCCCAAGATCTGGTAGACGTAAAACAGCAACAAATAATAATAGGGCATTAGATGTTTTACAGTCTTTCGTTGAAAATCACCATATTTCCATCAAGCGCGTTGCACAAGAATACGAAATCGGGCATGCATCTGTCAGTAAAATTTTGAAATTGAATAAATGGCATCCATACAAACTCCATTTGTGCCAAGAGTTATCCGAAGACGATTTTGATAGACGCATCGAATTTTGTGATCTTATGATGGAGATGATTGTCGACGATCCTCTATTACTTAATAATATTGTCTTCTCTGATGAGGCGACATTTGAACTGACTAGAAATATAAATAGACACAATTGTAGATACTGACGTTAATCCTCACTGGAAAAGAGACAATCATACCCAATACCGACAAAAACTTAACGTATGGGCTGGTATTCTTAATGATAGACCAGTTGGCCCTTTCTTCATTGAAGACAATTTGACAGCACAGGTATACACAGTCATGCTTTGCGAACAAATTGCTCCAACTATTCAAAACATAGTTGGTGGAAATATGGATGAAATCTGTTGAAGGGCAACAATTTGAACATTTGTTATGAATTGTTTGATACAATTGAATATTTCGCCCAAGCTGACCAATTGGGATGAAATTCGCCTTAACTGGCCGGAATCACACGCCACTCTTGCCTTAACTGGCCAGACCCACACACCACTCTTGCCTTAACTGGCCGGGNCAACAATTTGAACATTTGTTATGAATTGTTTGATACAATTGAATATTTTGCCCAAGCTGACCAATTGGAATGAAATTCGCCTTAACTGGCCGGAATCACACGCCACTCTTGCCTTAACTGGCCAGACCCACACGCCACTCTTGCCTTAACTGGCCGGAATCACACGCCACTTAACAAATTGTTAACTTCAAACCTTTATAAATTAAAAAGAATTTAAAGAAAAAATAGTTTATAATAGTGTTTTGGAAAGCTCACGAGATAAGCTATAAGGATATGCAATAAAATGTAGGGAGTTCCGTTAAAAAAAAAAAAGTTGACATTAAAATGACCTTGAAGGACATGGTCAAAATGAAAGTCATCATCTTACTCCCCGTTTGAAACCATNCTATTGGACATTTTCTCCAAAATGCATTCTAACTGAAGATACTAGGGGGGTCCAATACTTTTCGATGACCCTGTATAATGATGCTTTGATATACATATCTGAAATAAACAAATTTGTATCAATTAAACTATAACATATCATTGACTGTATAAAATAATTAAATTTAAGAATAACTATCGAAGTAATGCAGAAAAAAAATATATATTCAGGGTGCGTGAGCTAAATCAAGACAAACATCAATTTGAATTTCCTGCCACATTTTACTTCAGCGCTAAATTGGTATTTGTGTCCGAGCAAGCTAAAACAATATTCTGAAGGAACATATCCTCAAAATGGCAGAGCAGTCAAGATCAGACATAGAATATAATCGAAGAGCGGTGAATACTGAAAGTCTTCACACTGGACGTACGCCGGCCGAAATAATTGAGTTATTCAAATATCCGATATTGACAGTTTACGAAGTTTCCACTAAATGTAAGGCTTGGAGAAGTCCGAAAAAGGTTCCACAAACCCGTCGAAGAATAGCCATTTAAGGTAAAGGTCAGCAAGGACCCCAGAAGTTGTCCAAGTAGTCCACAAGCTGATTGCAGAAGAACCAGTGTATTCTCTCATGAAATTGGCGGCAATTTTGGGTGTGAGTGAGGCTACCATGTGCCAAATAGCCGAAGGGGATCTACGCTACAGGTCATACGTCATAAAGATACGACGGTATGCTGTCTGAGGCTGCCATAATGAAGAGAGTTGCTCGCTGTAACTTGTTTGTGTATTCGTTTAAAAAGGAAACAGCGGGACGCGTCAGATGTTTCTCTGACGAGAAAATGTTTGCTGTCAACGCAAAAGTGAACAGCAGGAACGACTGTTGGTTTGCCTCTGAAGATGTCCTCGTTGTAGCTAAGACAAAGTTTCCAGCCAGTGTTTACGTCCTAAGCGTTGTCTCCAGCAAGGGTGATATCATGCCGTCGCATTTTTTAATAAGGGAGTAACCGTCACAAAGGAATTATATTTACATGTTCTGACTTCGTGTTCTGACAATGTACAGCATAATCTGACGATGTACAGCAGTAATCAAGCCATAGATGGACGCTGTGGCCTCTGGGAGGCCGTACATCTTTAAACAGGATAGCGCAACAGCTCACACGAGTCATTTGGTCCGAAATTGGCTGTCGGATAACGTCGACATATTTTGGAGCAAAGAGTTTTGGATTCCGAATAGTCCAGATTTAAATCCGTTGGACTATTGCGTGTGGAGCATGATTGAAAGGGTCACTAACAAGTCGAGACATCTTAATATGGTATCTCTCCAGGCTGCTATTAAAGCATAATTCTTCAATATGGGCAAGCCGACGTTGCGGAAAGCGTGCAATCGCTTCAGGCCCAGGGTCGAGGCAGTAATTGCGGCAGACCGTGGTTACATTGAGTAATTTTTGTCTGTAACGTTTCCACAAATGACACGAAAAAAGGTTTTTATGTAATTTTGTACGTTTGACCAATAAACTTTTGTTAAATACATTGTTTAATTTATCCGGATTTAACTGACATACTCTGTATATATATACGCTAGCTGCGTTTCTCCGCCCAAATGCGGAGAAACACAAATTTCGTGGAAGATCGCCGAGATCTACGATTCACAAGCGTCATGATCGCGTCCGGTAGAAAACATTTTTCTTCCTATATGTTCTACCGTTTCTCTTATGCGCTTATTAGTTCAGACAGAACAATTAATTCCTCGTTAACTATTGCGAATTTTGCATAATAATGTCTACCTTTTCAATTAGTTTAAGCTCTTGTATCTGCACGCGAGCGGATCTATGAAATGTGCCGGACACAATGTATATTTAGTACACAGAAAAATATCACTATAGTATATAGACTAGAGAATATAAGATTGTTATTTATTATTTATTTATTAAAAGAACAGAATCAAATGAGGCAAACTGAGCAACTAAATAAATTATTTTGTAATTACAAAGAAACAACACACACACACACAAAACATTAACAATGTTGCTTGTACTTACATGTATTTTGAAACGGTTAAGCTCAATCGATTTCAATCTTCATTTAATCTATATAATGTATAAATTGTTGAATGTCCAACTTATGCCACTTGTTTCAAATGTGTCCACGTTACAATTATCCTCTGAGTCTTTAGCTAGCTAAACCTTTGCCACCTTCCTAGTTAAGTGATTATGTCACAACTATTGCTGAAAAAGAAAACAGCGGCTGAAGATTCATCAATAAAACATCGTCTATGGCAAAGGCAATTCCGTCCTACAAAGGCAATTCTTTTTTCCTGTGGCCACACTTTAATAGTGAGATAAAATATGTCGACAACGTGCAACTGTTCCACGCTTCTCTTGAAATTTTCAGCGGCTTGGCTCGCCTCATATTGTCAAGTTAAAATTTTGTCGCGATCATAGTTGCAATAATTTATATACAAGAGTTACAACAGCAAAAATCGTATGATGAATGAAAAACAAACGATACAGAATATAATGTACCGCCGGCCGATGGACACCACTCGTTTCGTGCGTTCTCGCGATTATAATTTATTCACCTATCCTTTCGCCAGTTAAGAACGTTATCAAGATGAAAATACATGCCCGTCCGGCATGTTTATTCTGGCTACTGAAATATTGACGATGTCACCAATCGAACTTTTGCGTTTCAAGAATTCTGTCGGAGCATGCGCAACAGCAATCCGTCCAAAATGACGGAAATTTTTCGTTGACGGAGGGAGACAATATCCTTTTGACTTTTGACATGGATCATTCAGACGGTGATAATGATGCATTTCTTCACTATTAACTAATAATTTCCAAAGCACAGTATTTAATAAATTTATAATAAATATTTCAATAACTGATTATCGTAGCATTCAAACACGGCTGTATACCTTAGTCAACGATAATATTTTCACGAAATTCTGACACGTAAAATTAAATTACAAAATCTATTAAGTCAAAAGAATGCGAAGTTAAATTATAATTATAAGTTTATTAAATACGAAGTCAAATTTTACGGTGTAAACAGCGAAAATTGCATAGAGATGTTTCCAACGCGTTTCCATTTGTGCATTTCATGAAATATAGATTTAAAATGGGCGATTGGTCTCAACCGCTGTATGTTGAAAATTATCGGTTTGTGGCCGCCAGATAGCAACGATATGCGGGAACTATTGTCTTCGAAACTCCGACGGTTATTTAATATTACCTTACTGATTTTTGTACTTACGGTACCGGCTTTAATGTCACTTATTAGAGTATGGGGCGACATGATGCTGGTAATAGACAATTTGCAATATACCTTACCTCTGTTGATAACAATATTGAAAGTGTCTATTATGTGGGGCAAAAAGGAAGGTATAAATTATTTAAGAAGTTAATCTTCTCTGCTTTTGCTACAATGTTTACTGGAAACACTCAAAGAGAAAATGATTTAAAGAGTAATGCTTATAAAATATATGTTTGTCTACATATACATTTTATTGTTCCTCACAGCCTTAATGCCGTTAATTAACATGATCACGAAGGACTGGGTAAAAACAAAAATTGAAGAGGAACGAAACGTTATGCTACAACAAGCTAGAGTCAGTCGCATATTCGTTATGTGTGGTGGACTCATGATACTTTCAACATTGATTTTTGGTCTCGTTCTTCCATGTTTTGGATTGACATTCAGACACGTGACGAATTTGACCGATCCTGGAAAACCCTTGCCGATACAATCGTACTACATATACGATATATCTAAAAGTCCACAGTTCGAACTGACGCTTCTGGTACAAGGGATCGGACTGACATTGTCGGGTCTTACTTACACTGGGGTAGACACATTCCTTGGATTATTAATTTTACATATATGTGGCCAGATGGAGAATCTGCACACGCGTTTAGCAAATTTGGGAAAGAACACAAATTATAAAGTGGCTTTAAAATATAATATCAAGGATCATGTCCGCTTAATCAGGTTATTAAAAAAAAAATGAGAGAAAGAGAGAGAGAGAGAGAGAGAGAGAGAGAAAGAGAGAATTTTAATTATTTTTTAAGCTGTGCTCAAGTGCGACTGTAGTATACATTTAACAGATATAATACTAATTGAAATTTTTTCTAAGAAAATTACAATTACAGATCAATCCAAATAATTGATAATACTTTTCATTTAATGTTGCTCGGGCTATTTTTCTTCTTTGGTATATTGTTTTGTCTTCAAGGATTTCTAATAATTAATGTAAGTAGTAAAAGTTCCGAATTAGGTGTTTTATTATTATTTTTGTCGGTAATCGTGGCTTTTACCTTCAGATCAATTTGATCAAAATGAAATTTGCTATTATGGTTATCCTACTTCCTGATATCGTAATTTTTGTATATGATACTACATATTGAAGCGCCTCATTTGAACTGTTCATTTCATGACAATTTAGGTGATTAATCAAGGAAGTCAATTATCAATTATGCAATTGGTTTGGATCCTCGCCGCCAATGTGTGTGTTTTGTTGCACATGTGTCTCTACTGTGCGGCCGGTGAATTTCTCGTGACGCAAGTAAACACAATAATGTCATAGTTATTTTAGCCGCAATATATATAAAATTATTCATTCTTCCAATTAGAGTAATTTGCACAATTTTTGCAATAAACATAAATACTTAATTAATATAACTTTATTGTCACAAGATATATTTTAATTTTATACCTGAAGAGCCAAATTTGCGAAGGACATATACTGCAAATTGTATGTTACATTTTATGTAGATAAATCTCAGGCAGAAATTGAAAATGATTTGCTGTTTTACTTAATATCAGCAAAAATATAGCAGAAAACAAACGGAATGTTTCACAACATACTAACAATATTAATTGCAAAAATACAGTAAAATTTCCCAACACAAAAAGGAATTCAAACATATAATGCCGTCACAATGTGACAACAGAAGTATAACAAAACTTTAGCATATCATGCCATCAGAACATTACAATAGAAACGCGGTAGAAATTGTGCTTGCTGTCATAACGTGACGGCTAAGAAACGACAAATATTGGAACATGGGCAGCTGTTGAAAGCCGCAAAATTGGAACACGTCTTGTCGTCACTACATGGCCGCAAAATAATGACAAATAGAGAATGCAATTTACAATATAATAATAATAATATTAATTTCTTTATTGGATACGACACTTATAGAACTGTACCCCAGCCAGAAAAAAAGTCGAATCGACATCTATTCGTTGTCGATGCAGCGATGAATGGTCGATATCGAATACCAGATATTTTTGTCATTTTTAACTATATAATAAATATTATTATTATATAAATTAAACAATTAAAAAAAATTTATATAAGTTTCCAGGTCACAAGGAAGCTGAAAAATATTCCGATCAGTTGTAACAGTAGATATATGACTTTTGGTTAGAACAGTGTTGATTGTTAATTGAAAATCGGGAAAAAAGCAGCATATCACACTTGTCATTTGTCACAAAATCATTAGATTGTTAATTAACATATTCTTGTTACGTTGTAAAATATTCAAGTATTTGTATTAAGAAATGATTTAAGAATTTTTCGAAGAAATAAAAAAGTAATATAAATAAATGAATATTGATAAATGTCATAATATAGGTAATCATTGACTTCATTGTATTAAGTTGTCAGCTATAATCGTTTGACTTTAGAATATAAAATCGAAACCATAGGACTTATTGAGACGCATGAGATGAAAAAATTCAAAAAGTAAGGTAGCAGAATTTTAATTAAACCAAATAATCTAACGTTAATCTGTTTTGTATTGTTTGTATCAACGTAATTTATTGTAAACATTGATGTTAACAATGTTTTGTAATTTCTGTAACTAATGCCGATAGTCGAATTTGATATTGGGATTGTGAATAAGTTCTCGCCGCTTCACCATCAGATGGCGGTATACAAATTTTCTGTGTATAATTCAAGATGGTGACGCATCTATATTGAAGTTCTATAACCTATGTTTAAAATCAGTGTCTTTCCATTAACCTATAAAGAACATTTTCTTTTTGTGGCGTAAAACATGTCAAATTTTGTGCCAAATAAATTGTTTTTGCGGGGAATTTTACTGCACTATTTTATTCAGAAGAAATCTGCAGCTGAAGCGCATAGAAATCTTGTAGAAACCTATAGTGATCATGCTCTGTCGGAAAGAACATGCAGAGATTGGTTTAACCGATTTAAAAATGGTGATTTTGATGTTCAAGATAGAGAACGCAGTAGTGCACCAAAAAAGTTTCAAGACGAAGAATTGGAAACATTACTTGCTGAAGATCCATGTCAGACGCAATCCGATGATGCAAAATCATTAAGAGTTGATCGAACAACAGTTTCGAAACGTCTGACAGCATTAGGAATAATACAAAAGGAAGGATCTTGAGTGCCGTACGAACTGAAGCTGAGAGACGTCGAACGGCGTCTTGTCACGTGTGAACAGCTACTTTAACGACAAAAAAGGAAAAGTGTCATACATCGTATTGTGACTGGTGATGAAAAGTGGATATACTACAGTAATCCCACGCGTAAATAATCGTGGGTTAAGCCCGGCGAAGCAGTAGCATCAACGCCAAAGAGGAATATCCACGGTTCCAAGCTCATGCTGTGCATTTGGTGGGATCAGCTGGAAGTAGTGTATTACGAGCTGTTCCAACCCAACCAAACCATCACAGGAGATCTCTATCGACGACAATTGATGCGTTTGAGCCGAGCATTGAAAGAAAAACGGCCGCAATATGAACAAAGACACGATAAGGTGATTTTGCTTCATGATAACGCTCGCCCGCATGTCGGCCACAGGTCAAAACATACCTGGAAACGCTGAAATGGGAAGTCCTACCCCACCCGCCGTACTCTCCAGACATCGCGCCTTCTGATTACTATTTATTTCGATCGATGATTAACGGCCTGGCTGAGCAGCACTTCACTTCGCATGAAGAAATGAAAAAATGGATCGATTCGTGTATAGCCGCATAAGAAGTGTCGTTTTTTCGACATGGAATTCTAATGCTGCCAGAAAGATGGGAAAAAGTAGTCTCCAGCGATGGGCAATACTTTAATTGACTTGTTTTTTATTGTTTTTTTTAAATAAAGGATTTATTTTCACAAAAAACGTCGAGAACTTATTCACACTTCCAATATTTAGGTTGAATCGATTACAAATTTCCATTATCGATCGACCATTACAATTGACGTCGATTCGATTAATAAACTTTATATTAGGTGTACAAATGAATAATCCAAATGATTTTAAGCAGAAATTTTAAAAATTAATTTTAAAATCAATTGATTTTCCTACTCTTATGCGGTTAAATATGTTGACATATAGCTATTAAAAGTGGCATTTAGTATGGCGCAAGGCCCAACATAACCTTCAAAAATATTCAGTTCAGTAGAGTCAAACATGGCAATAGATAAGGTACATTTCTGACACAGTATTCTTTATGAATTCTAACAAGGAAGAAATACTGCAAGAGCGTGCGAATCGATTTGTTCCAATCTCGGCAAAGGTGTTGTATCGTACGATGTATGCATTTTGGTTTAAGCGACATAAAAGCGGTGATTTCAGTCTGATCGACAAACAACATTTTGGAGGCCTTCGAAAATGTAACAACGATAATTCGGAACAACTATTCGCTGAGAATTCGGCACAAACCCAAAAGGAGCTTGCATTCCAGTTGGGAATAACGCAGCAAACCGTTTCCAAACGCCTAAATGAGATAATTAGGATCCAAAAAAAAAGAAAATAGGTTCCGCATGAACGTTGAAGTCAACAAAAATTAACGAGTGGCAGCATATCTTTCTCTTCCCAATAAGCAGCGTCGAAAGTATTTCTTATGGAAAATCGTTACGGACGATGAGAAATGGATACATAGACAATCCGAAACGCAGAAAGTCATGAGTAAATCGCGGCGAAACATTAACGTCGGTCGCAAAGCCCAATTGTTTCGGAAAGAATGTTCTGCTCTGCATTTGGTGGGATATAAAGAGCGTGCTCTATTGTGAACTGTTGGAACCGGGTAAAACGGTTACTGCGGGCTGCTACAAATGCCAATTAATCAGCTTCAGTCAAGAATTGGAACAGAAACGCCCGTATACTGACAAAGGAGAACACCCTGTGAAATTATTGCGTGACAACGCCAGGTCACACATTGTTTCCAAGATAAAAGATACCATAATGAATCTTGGCTGGAACGTCTTGCAGCACCCGGCGTATTCGCCAAATATTGCTCCATCCGATTAACACTTGTTCCGGTCAATGCAACACGCTTTGTCTGATACTCACTTCCAATCAGTGGATAAGATTCGAAAATGGCTTGACGAATTTATTGTGCCCAAAGACACAGCATTTTCCGAAATAGCATTTATCAGCTGCCTGAGAAATGGCTTAAAGTTATAGAAACAAGGGCGAATACTTTGATTGAAAAATTTGTTTTATATTCTTTTGAATTAAATCTTGAATTTAGCTGAAAAATTTGTGTTATTCGTTTGTAACCTAATATCTATAAAGCGTGCCACATTAAAACGCTGACATTAATATGTTACGTCCTAGAAGAGGATGAACGCAACAAAATCGCTTACTCGCGCACTCGCGAGTCCTAAACGTACTGGTAGGTCTGCAGATCAGGTCAAAGTCCGAAGAAGCCCATTTACTCCGATCACAGAACGTACGTTAAGTAGTCCTTTATTTAGGTCAAAGAACTTAATCTCTTTACCTGGGATAAGACCATATGAGCATGTTGAGAGGGAAATTTAGATTTGAGTGATTAAAAGGAAATGAATAAATAGTTTTAACGACTTGGTTCAATTTAGGGCATTTTAAATAAAACAGTTTATTAATTATACTAATAACATAATTTGGTTCTCGGATGGATTAATAATAGTGGTAAATTGATGAGAAAAGTTATCGTAAAAGATACGTTTAAAAGTTGAAAGGGTTAGCTAAAGTTAAACAGCGAGATATGTGGGTTAACATTAAGCAAACTTTTATAAATCAGCATTATTGGAATAAACAATACGGACTGAACTAAAAACTGAGAACGAGAACGAGAACGAATGAAGATGAATAAAGGCTAAGACTGAGACTGAGAACTGAGAACTGGGAACTGAGAACTGGGAACTGAGCTCGTGGCAAAAGAGTGAGACTTATATAGGGAATGTTTCAGGAATGGGTGACGATCGCCAATGAGAGGAGGTTGCGTGGAAGACGGTTACTCTGGAAAATTCTTAGTATCATCTGGTTGACATAAATAATCTTAAGAACTTAATCGCATCGAAGGGCCTTTGTTTTACCGACTGTATACAAAGGCGGATAAGATCGCAGACGCATTGGGAGACCCTGTGACGCATTTGGGCGGTGTGTGGTCGTGTCATTTTACAGCAGCGCTTGCCCAAGTTTGTTTGTTTCATGACTATAAAAAAAAGGAATGCGGATAGGGTGACGGACGCGTTGGGAAATATACGGCGCGTTTGGCAGCAAGCCATCGTAATCTTATCATTTTACAATAGCGCTTGCCCAAAGTCCGTCT